AAACTCGAAATGCTATCTCTCAAATCAACGAAGGAATACATTTTTGGTTTTAAATTCCACATTAGTAGCAACTGTATAATAGCTAAACTTACCAAAAATATTTGTAGAAAAACCACCAAAAATTCTAGAAATTGCTATAAATCCTGAAAACATTAGGAAGATTATTGCTTGCCAATTCCATGCTGAAAAGATCAAGCGTTTACAAGGATGAGCTCAACTGTTAACGAACAACTTGTGTAAAAAATTCAATGTTAAAATATAAATACTATGCCAAATTTTTCCAAAAATTCCTCATAATATTGTCTCTCATCGTAAATATATATGGACTTATAAGTGATGAAAACTGAGTCGGTAAAAGAATGGATTAAAATTTAATTTCCCAAAATAAATTGGCCTACTAAAACTAAATAAAATAGATAAGTAAATAGTAAAAAAAATATCTAACAAAATAAATAATGATCTTTCTTAAAATACTGCCCAATAAAACATGTCGAATAATTGAAACTTTACAAGCTTGGAAGCTGAAATTCTAAAAAGATTTTGGAAAATTCGGACATCACATATTAAAAGAAACAAGTCTACAAGCTACAAGTACAAAGAAAGAGGAGAGACGAAACTAAACGCAACAAGTACTTCTTCCCATTCAATAGCAGGGAGGAAATTTTATGGCTTATCCATCACACTAAGAGGAAGCAAACATACTGCCCTAGGCTGGGCCATCTTAGAGAGATTTCAGAAAACAAAGGTGATTTTTTTTGGAGGGGTTTGTTGACTGACAACACGGCCATTTTCAAAGCATTTCGTTCCGAGGGGCGGGCTCGTTAATGGGTTAAGGAAAACTTTAGGAGGAAGTCTCAGTATGACTTAATGAAGTTTAAGGAGAAAAAGTAAACTTTTAACACGTTGAGTGCGGTGCTGAATTTGCTGTCCTTTCCATTCAGCCGGCAGCGAGCTAAGCCGTACTTTTGTTTAGAATGTTTCAATACATTTCATTAAAACTAAATTTGATCACATTTCATTGACACTGTATTTATTTTTTAACTTTAATACTGTCAGTTCCTTCTAACTTTAATACTGTCGGACCGACGCCAGCCAAATGAAAATTCCAGTGTCGGTCCCAAAGGACCGACGCCGGCCACAGGAAAAGTTCACTGCTGGTCCCCAGGGACCGGCACCACGCTCAATGTGTTAGGCACAATAAAAGTCTGGAAAAATTAATAGTGATTAGTGAACTTTGGGGCCTGATGATCATGAGTCTAAAGCACTTAAGATCATGAGTATGACTTAAGATGATCATGAGTCAAGTCTCTTAAGCTAGGGAGAGTACAAATTTTTTTTGGCATTTTAAAACTGTTTTATAACATAAATACGAAAATTGAATTGGAAAGAATTTACAATGAATAGGCTTCTAGAACATATGATAAAACAAAATCATTAAGATAATGATAATGATGTAATTAGAAATAAATATTGTTGCGTGCGTACAGGTTCGTTATGAAATGAATGCACAAGTCCAATGAAAAATGAACAAAAATTTATTATTTGATTAAATGTCCTCAAATAATCGTGCAGTATCACAATATATCACAGTAGTTGTCTTCCTAACTACTCAAACGTTCAAAAGAACTTAATTCAAAACAGCTAAAGAAAGCTAATCTGCGAATTCGCTACAGTCAACAAGAGCAGTTTTGTAAACAACAAAAAACTAAGTAAGTACCACAAACTGAGAGGTTTTCCTCCTTTTATAAGATTTTTAAATCGCGTGCGAGAATTTTCTGGTACTTTCTCGAAATCAAAAAAACATATTTATTTATTTAATGTTAAATGCATGTGCTCTTGTATTTTTAATTTTCCGTCTTAGCTTTCTTCTTCTTTCTAATATTCGTCACGCGCTGAACTGCGCAGGAAATAAAACCATTTAATTTATAATTGAACTAACATTAGCTTTTTAAATACCAAATTCGTAACACTGCCCCCTTCCCAAGGACTGCACGTCTCGGGCAGTACAATCCCTGGACAGGAAGCTAAACTTACAACTGTGGCATAAATGCATTAATAAGCATTACATTACAATAATAAACAACGTGAACAATAAATGCAATAAATAAAACAAATCAAATGCTATCAAATACTAAATACGAATCAAATACTAAATACGAATCAAATCAAATACACATTTAAAAACAAAAAGGACCATGGTCTTATACTATTTAAATGTAAATAATGTAATGTAAATAATTTAAATGTACGTAATGTAAATAATTTACAATTATTTACATTATGTACTATGGCCATAGTAATGAGCTAACTTAACCTGTCGTAAAGAACGACTTTAGGTTCAGAGTTCGAAGACTTAGGATCCGAACTACGAGGTCATTCAGCCTGTTTAGGACTGTGTGCGGACCATCGCAAGGTGACTGTAATTCAGGCCTGACTCCTTTTCGTGAATCGGGTTCCACAACCACACCTTGTCTCCTTTGTTGAATCCATGTCCAGTAGCTCTCGCGTTGTATCTGATCTTCACTTTCTCCGTCGCCAAGTTCACTCGCTTTCGTGCGGAATGGTGCATCACTTCAAAACGGGCCTGGACATCTTGGATGTGTCCTCAGGCGATGAAGGCGCATCTGTATGGCGATCAAACAGGTGGTCACAAGACAGACGAAGGTCTCGACCGGAGAGCATCTGTGATGGTGAATGCCCGGTAGTCTGGTATTTCTCTCCGACCCTATTAGAATTTCCGCAGCTTTCTGAATAGGGCCTTTCACATGAGACGTCGGCATTTCCAGGCGATGATTCCTTTTGAAGATGGATCGTCATGTCTTCAGATGCTGAGAACAGCTTATTGTTTTTGAAGTCTAAGGAAAAATTATATTTCCTTAGAAAGTCCAATCCGAGTATGCATGGATCTGTAATATCCGCCACATAAGCCGTATGATGTCCAGCAATAATTTATCATTGTATTCTTTATCCAAAGTACATAGAATCTAAGTTATCTATGAGTGAGAAGAAAGCACTAAGACTATTACTTCATGAAATAAATATGCATTTTGTACATACATCTTAGCTTCTCCCATAAAATCAGCTCCAGTTACTGGCACATATCTCTTCAATGAAAGCTTATAAAATGTTTCAACTTTTGTATGGTGGTTTAATTTGAAGAAAATAACTATAAATGAAGATCTCATATTCATCATATTTGCACACTGATGACATTGTCTGATAAAGTGCCGTGAATTTCACTTCCTTGCATTTTTCACAATTTTTACTTCCTTGTACAAAGTAAAAAGGAAGGATTGTAATCGCGAAAAATTTCAGGCAGCATATTTCAACGAAAATATCCATTTGGACTGCTTTCGAATGCAATTTAACGATGTTTTTGTGTGATATCTGTACATAAGGACAGAATAAAAGACTCCAAAAAAATTATAAAACTGCTTTAAAATGAATTCTGAAGAGAATTTTTCGTGGCGTGTGTACGAACATATGTACACATGTATCTCGCATAACTCAAAAACAAGTAGCCTCAGAACATTGAAATTTTGTATATAAGCCTACTATCACATGTAGATGTGCATCTCGTATTTTGGTTGCAATCGGCCACGTCAAACGTATATAAATATATTTATATATATATCCACTCTGTTACCCGGCTCATTGATCTTAGTTTCTTTACTCTTATATGATTGTAAATTGTATGTTTTTTGCTTTAAAAATGATTGAATTATGTTGTTCTTATCTTCCGGTTAAAGTTTTTATGCCTTTAGTAAATATGTATGCAATATTTTTAGAATTATCAACAATTTTAAAATTGTTTAAGTGTGGCTAAGCCTAATAATTTTTTGATGGTGGTCATTGCTTGTTTATATTTGAAACAGCAGAGTAGTGGATTTATTGCCAATCTAGAGAAATGTAACTTCACAACAACAAAGATAGCGCCATCATTTATTATTGCGAATTAAATCATGCTTAATCCTTTCAGGAATTTTTTCAACGAAATAAGTGTTTAAGATTTACTTCGTAATTTTTAATACAGATATTTTGAGTTTTTATGTATTTTTGCCTTGTCGCAAAGTGAGAACTGAATTAATTGAATGTGATCAATCGAAAACGATTGAGTATTTCACATTCAATCGAAAAACTGTTTCTTTTTTGTTTTGTTTGCTTAATTTCTTTTATACATCGTTGTAGCTTTATTATAGTATTTGGCCCACCAGTGGCCGAGCGGTAAAATCGCTGAACACTGGTAGTTCGGTCCGAGGTTCGAATCCCGCGAACGGGCTGGCTGCATGGGCGTTTTCGTGGTTTTCCCCATGTGTAACGTGTATACGAGCCAGTTTCCCTTAGAAAGTCCTCCACGAAAGGCATCCCTCCCCTTAGGCAGATAGCCCTAGTGTGCTTTGCCGTATTCTCAATACACACACACATTATTATAGTATTTGAATAGAACATGTGGCAACGATTAGATAATTCTTTAAATGATATAAATTTTGTGCATTCTGAGTTATAATATGAATGAAATATAATACTGTTAAGTGAACCTAGTGCCATAGTGTCGCTATGGTAAACAAATAGTGTGAATTTTAAAGAATGCGTGTGGTGTACATATCAGATTTTTTGTTTACTGTAGTACAATAAGTTTTTAATTACTTTATAAGTTTCTGTTAGCTATTGCTGTTTTTATGCTCTGCAAATCTTAATCAACTCTAATCAATGGTTTGAAGAAATTTGACAGCCCTTTGGCATATGCAAAAATAATTAACTTTAGTTCCTAGAATTTTTTTTATGGGAGAGAAAAGAACGTTTATAAAATTATTCATGTTTTCTGTGTATGCTTTCTCAGACTGAAGGGGGAAAAAGTTAGTAAAGCATAGATAAGTCATCCTTGAACTCATATTAACTTATGATATTTTAAAATATCTATATCAATATTTTTCACTGTTTAAAATATGAAATAGGTTGTTTGCTTATTAAATGTTTAATAATATTTTAATTTCTATTAGAATTAAGGGTGCGATTGGAAGAGCCAATAATTATGTGTGTTGTTGGAAATAAATGTGATATGAATGCATATCGACAAGTTGGACTGAGAGAAGCTAATGAATATGCAATTTCAATTGGTGCCTTGTATCATGAAACATCAGCCTTAAGTAGTGAAGGTAAACAAGTGTTAAAAGTATTTTTTATTAAAAAAAACCTGTGTAACATTTAATATTTGACTTTTTCTAATTTACTGATTTTCCCCCTATTCTGCCTTTTGTTTGTTTTGTGTTCTAATAATTGAAATAGCAAGTGTCTGAAAAACAAATCTGTACACTATACATATATGTATATATATATATATATATTATATATATATATATATTTTCTTTTATGAAGGTGCGATCCCCACCCTCAGTTCATGTATATGTGTGTGTTTGAAGGGAGAGCATTTTGCAAGGAAGAAATGTTATCTCATAAAATTATTTTTTAAATGTATTGCATTGCATAATATTATGTTCAAAATTAATACATAAAAAAGATCTTGTACTTGAACTCAAAATAAAAGCAGTGGATTATAATAATCTGCTACAAGTTTGGAAAAGGCAAGGAGCTAAACATGAAACAATCTTAGCATTTTTCGAATCTATCAAGAATAATAATAAGAAATGGGCAGGGGGCTTGATATTTGGTGTTTTATGTTAAACAAAGTTTGAAATTAAAATTCAAAAATATAGTTTTTAAAAATATATTTATTAAGAAAATTGCACACGGATCGCAGATTAATTACTTTGCTATGAGCTTCAACTACTATGAGTTTTTATTAGTCGATTTAGTTTATTAGCTTAAGACCATTCATGATAATTTTTTTCAATTAAGGTAAAATCACATCTTGCACGCGGTGGCAGCACTGTTATTTTGGCTAGAGTCAAGAGCTCAAAGCTAAGTTCGTACATTCACAAAGTTCTTATCAGCGAGTGAATTGAGCGCTGGAATCTTAAAACCTTGTAATATTCAGAATATGTCTTATAATTCAGTTTCTAATTCATATAGACACTATTTACACAGTCTTTTAGATATGCAAAATGTTGAAACTTGCAATTTCTTAATCATGTGACGTGATCCAGTTAATGGGAAAGTTTCTTTCCGAAGTTGATATTAGATTTATCTTCAAGGCAAAATTTTATAAAAGTTTAACTGCAGGTACTTGAATCATTTAAATAAATTCATTTAATTTTCGGATCGCAGTTTTTATTCGGACTTATCCAAAATAAAAACTGCGATCAAATCTTCGCAAATCATTTCAAGCAACTTAAAACATTCGCTTATCCCATCTGTTGCGAATTGTGCCAGATTATATGCTCTTCCCAAAATTCATAAAAGTGGTATTCCTTTCCGCCCTATTGTATCAAATTTAGGTACTGCCTCATATCCATTAGCTAAATATTTAGTTTCTAGATTTTCCACTCTATTAGACAATAACATTTACACCATAAAAAATTCACTCATGGTTTCTTTTGATGTAAAATCATTATTCACCAATGTCCCAGTGGAGGGTGCATTAAGATGTCTAGAAACCAGACTTCGCGAATTTCATTTCTCTTGCATCGAAATTGATGAGCTAATTTCTCTCACTCAACTCTGTTTGAAACAAACACATTTTGTTTTCCAAAATAAATATTACAAGCAAACTGAGGGATTAGCCATGGGAAGCCCCCTCAGTCCCATCCTGGCTGATATCTACATGCATTATTATGAATCAAAATTATTTGAAACTTAAAACTTCCCGGCATGGTTCCGCTACGTAGACGATACTTTTACCCTGTTTGAAGGTAATAAAGATGATTTAAATAGAGTTCTTTCAACAATGAATTCTATTGATCCTGCTATTCAGTTCACTTTTGAACTTGAGACTTGCAATTCTCTTCCGTTTTCTCGACGTTCTGGTCACACGTAACACATCCCACTTCAGTACTACAGTTTACCGTAAAGTCATCGGTTTGCCTTCCACCACACTTTAAATCATGTCATCCCGACTAAACAAAAGTTAGCTTCATTTTATTCCTATGTTTTCCGTGCTCTTCAAGTTTGCTCCTCCAAACTAGCCCTTGATGAAGAACTAAATATTTAAAAGCAATAGCTATTGACAGGGGCTTTTCACCCAACATTATTAATCAAGCAGTTAAAAAATTCTCATCTCAACACACTAAAAGCCACACTCTTATTTTAGGAGATTATAAAAATTCTGTTGTCATTACCTTCTTTCCATCAATTAGCTATAAAATTGCACATATTTTACAGAAATTTAACTTTCGGGTCGTTTATTCTCCTATCAATAAAATTCAGAGTTTCATACTTAAGGACCTCATTTCAAATAGGAATTCCTGGGGTATTTACAGGGTTCCTTGCTTGTGTGGTTTAATTTACGTTGGTCAAACAAGAGAGCCTTAAAATTTCACATTAAAGAACATGAGGCATATTTTAGGAAAAAGGAACAACAGAAGTCCTCTGTTGCCCAGCATTCTTTGTCCAAAAATCACACTTTCCATTTTTCTGCAGGCAAAATTATTCAAAAAACATCTTTCATTGGTGAATTAGATTTTCTAGAAGTGTTTCACATTCAAAAATCTCTCTGTTCTAGTTAACGACCCTAATTCAATGCATCTTTGCCTTTAGCTTTTAAGGAAATTATGTTTGAGTTTTCTTGTTTTATCAATAATAGATGGCACCAGTAACTTCTGTCCCGCTGTTCTTATCTTATCATTATATCTTGTTTAGTTCATTTGCTTTTTGGCAGCTGAGGATGATGGTTCGGTAAAACCATCGAAACTAGTCCTGTGAAAAATTTTGTAAATTAATGCTGATTTTTGTTGTTTGACTTCTGAATTAGTAAATAATAGTTGATAAGCAAAGTCCTTAAGCTGCTTTAACACATAACTCAAAGTCCATTTTCTGCTTTATCAAAGAAATAAAAGTAGAAGAACAAACAATTTCTATTTACATATGTACAGATTTGCTACTACCAGCATGAGTTGTGGTGAATCGTTCTAGGTTTTTTTAACAGTATTTTCAACTGTTGAGCCATATTTTACAGTTTCTTGAATGGCTCAATAAGCAGATTTTTGCATTCTTTGAAAGAAATTATGTGCTGTGATTAGAATTTCATCATGGCTGCCTTTCATCTTTAATTTTTTATGGATGTGGGAATTTCGAACAAACCATGAAGCATTTACAATGGCTGTAAGTATTTTGTTTTGCAGGAAATTAATCTTTAAATGAAGTATGCAATTAAATTTCTGGAATTTAATCTTTATTTTCTCAACATAATGAAAAACAAAATGAATGATTGAATGAAAAAGAAATAAAGAATTAAATAAATCTTAAATTTGTTTAGTTTCCCAAATTAAAAAAAAAAAAAAAAATCAAACCAGTATTGAGAGGGTAGAATTATTTCGAGTGTAAACTTATAAATACTTGACATAGAATGCTAAATTAGATACAGAAAATTTGGAAAAATCAGAAACTTCTTTATTCTAAGAATTCGTAATAACACATTTGAAGAATATCTTTCAGAACTGCCACAAGCTGATATATCTCATCCAGATACACTGAAATTACAGTTGCATTCTTTTTTAAAATACTTCTTAGTCCTTCCTTTTTGTAAGCTTGTCCTAAATTTTTTATTTAAAATGTTTAACAGTTTTTTTAGGTTAGGTTTCAAAAGATCCAAACAATGAAAAAAGTGCGTAACATGTTGGATTTTTGAATTTCAGATGTGTTTCAAGATATTAGATTTCATGGGATTTGGGGATTTGAATGTCCCATCTTTTTTTTAAAACTTAATTTAGCAGATCTAGAAAAAAGCAGCTGATAAAGGGTGTATACAAGCAACTGATAAGGGACCATACAACTGTCATAGTAGACCCTTATGCCAATGACAAGATTCTTGATAAATATTTATGGAAATAAATCCCACTCTTCCAACAACTAAAGAATTGTTTGAGAGCATCAAATTGTGTATATTATCTAAATTTTGAGTGCATTGCATTATAACAAAAATCTGTTATTAGTGTGCTTAGATGTTTTTCACTTTTTGGCACTAGTAATGCATAGAATTTCTAGTCTTTGAGGTCATAGCATTATGTTATTAGGGTATTCATTTTTCAGAAGTCTGTGAAATAAGTTTTGTTAAAGAATAATCATATTTCCCTTGTGTATGCTCTCATTGTGCATGTTCAGTGAGCAAGTGGCAGATGTAGTATGTTTCAGAATCCTTGGCCAAGGCATATTTATTATTAGAGAAGTCAAACAACAAGAATCAGCATAATATTGGGTTATAATGAAAGTTTTCCACCAAAAAATATTCATAATAAAGATAGAAAAAACATGAAAGCCTTTAGTTTGAGTAGTAATCACCACCCAAATCTATGATTTTCTGCCACCATTTTGGTAGTTTTCCAAAGCCTTTCGTAAATACACTTTTCTTTGGTAAATCCACTTTTCATCACAAGTGATGATCTGCCTCAGAATTTTATCCTTGTGTTGATATTTGAGCAGATTAGTGCAGGGCCAAACAATTCTGTCCTTGTCTGCTTAAGTCAGGTCATGTGGCACCCAGCAATTGAACACGCACGTCGAAGTTTATGCGAAGCGATGCATTGCATGGCTAATGGACCTGGCACTAATGTCTGACTCCTTAGAAAGCTCTCAAGTAGTTGCATACTGATCTTCTTCCACAAATTCTCCCAGGCAGGCCTCGTAAGCATCAGTAGGCCAGCCAGAGTGCTCTGCTTTTTTAATGTCATAGTCCTTGTTTTTGAACTTTTGATACCAAACCTTTACAGTGTCATAGGATACGACTTTCTGTAGCTGACGTTTTGCAACAGAACTAAAAGTAAACGTTGGTTCTAATCTGGTAGCATGATAATTCCATTTCAGATACCTTGTACTTACTGATAGTGATATTTTTTTTACAAATTTCACAACAGTGTTCTAAAGCAAGTCTCTTTCCATCAGATGCCCAATAATCATTTGACAAAATATGATTAACACACCAACGTGAACTGTTTGCACAGACAATATTTGCGGTGGCGGGAAACTTTCGTAAAGACCTGATATATTTTAATGTATACATGTTGATATTTCAAACTATGTTTAATGCGAAATATGTTATTCATTGTTTATTTATTAAATGCATAATTTTTTTCAGTTACATATGAAATTAAAAGGCCAGCTATCATGCATTCAACTTATCAAAAGCTCAAGTAACTGGAATATTTAAAAACTGTAGAAACTCTCCCTCCTTACTCCAAAAAATGAAGCAGTGTTCTTTATAATGGCTTGCAAAGCCATTTTAAACAACTCATGACACAGTTGCCAAAGTTGATTTATCATCAGTTATAGATAGGTGGGATATTCACCTTGTGTTTATGTAAATCCTATTGAGTCTGAAAAGAGCTGGTTTATTTTTGTAAACAAGCTTGTTACTTACCGAACTGAATTAATTGGATGAGGAATATACCTCTAATGAAATTTGAGGAAATGCATATAATTTAATATTCCGTATAAGGAAGTCGTGGTGGGCACATTAGATTTTTAATATGTTCAACAATTAATATATTGCACATCCACCATTCAGCTTTTCACCCACTTTCTGGATAGTCATGCTTTTACTATATCTTTACTCAGGCATTGACAAAAGTAATGAAAATTTTTATAAAATTGAAATTGATTTTTGTTTTTAAGCATTTACTTTGTCTTGCTTGATTCCTTGTATTTGTAGGCATATTATAGATATTTTGTATTCTACATGTTGTAAGTTGAAATTGATTTGCATACATATTAATTTAAGTGACATCCACTTAGTAAATGCTTCAGAGCTACGAGGCGTATTCGGAAACTAAGTACCGTTTTGAAAAAAAAAAAAAAATAGTAAAACAATTTTTTCGAATCCAATTTTAATTTTACATGAAAATATATGTCTTAAACTATTTTTCAACATAGTTTCCGCCAATGATCAAACACTTGTCATAGCGGGTGACCAGTTTTTGTATACCATCATCAAAGAAACTTCCCGCCAGTTTCGATAACCACAACTCCACAGCATTTTTTGTATCATCGTCAGATCCAAAGTGCGCTCGCGCTTCATGTGCAGGAACAAGTGATAGTAGGACAGCGGCAAGTCCAGTCTGTACGGCGGGTGATCGAACTGCTCCCAATGAAACTGTCGAATTAACGATTGAGTGACACCAGCAGTATGGGGCCAAGCATTGTCATGGAGCAACACAATTCCTTTACTGAGCATTCCTCTTCGTTTGTTTTGAATGGCACGCCTTAGTTTTGTTAAAGCCTCACAATTTCATGCCGCATTTAATGGTTTCACCTCTGGGAAGAAATTCAGTAAGCAAAACGCCTTTCCTATCCCAGAAGACAGTGCACATGATTTTTTGTGATGACATTGTCACTTTGAACTTTTGTTTTTCGGAGAATGAGTGTGTCTCCACTCCATCGATTGTTGTTTCGATTCTGGTGTGAAATGACACACCCAAGTTTCATCACCTGTCACAATTTGGTTTAAAAAGTTTTCTCCCTCATCAAACTGTACCGTGTGAGAAATGTCCGGGCACTACCAAGTCGCTTTGTTTGTGAACATCAGTGAGCATTTTTGGAACCCATGGGGAACACAGTTTGCGATAATTCAAGCGGTCAGACACAATTTCGAACAAAACAGTAAGTGAAATTTGTGGAAATTCCTCTGAAAGAGTTGTCATTGTGAAGCGTGTGTTCTCATGAATTGCTTCATCAACTTGCCTTACCAAATGATCGGTGACAACAGAAGGCCGACCACTCAGAGCCTCGGCGTGGACATTCGTTCGACCTGCATTAAACATTCTTACCCACTTTCTCACCATTCCATCACTTATTGCGTATTCACTGTAAACTTCTGTCACTTGACGATAAATTTCGGCCGGTTTAACATTCCTCGCATTCAAAAATTTAATCACGGCACGAATCTTACAGTCAGCGGGAGAACTAATTGTCTTAAACTTTTTTGAATGCGCACAGCAAACTGAAAACACAACATAGAGCAACCAAAATGGCGACAATTGAAAGTCAGTGAACAAGAAAGATTGTGTGCATGCGCGGGACACCTACCACAGTGCTGCGACGGCGCTAGAATGAAACGGTACTTAGTTTCCGAATACGCTACGTATAATTACATTTTTCCTTATGAATAATCAAAGATTTACAGTTTTTGGCTTGGTTTTATGCACATCCCTTTATTTTCATCATTTTTATAAATATTAAGCCATTTAAATGTGTTTCTATGGGTTTTCAATGGATTGCTTATAAATTTTATCAGTTATTTAATCACCATATTAAGTGTATAAGAACTGGATTGAACATACTTTTCGAATAGCTTTAACTGTTGTTTATTTAAATATGTGGTGATATGGATTAAACTTGTATTTTTAGGTGTTGAAGGAGTATTTTTGGATATTGCTCAAGAACTCATTAGACAACACAGTATCGCTCAAAAAGAAAGTGATACTGATCCATTGTTTCAGGAAGGAAGAATCATTCGGGTAACTTCTGGTCGTCATGGTCATGCAGAGGAATCAGATGATGAAAAATCTTTCTTATGTTGTTAGAAAATGTTCATGATTAGATGCTTTTAAGGTTTTGTTTTCACCGACGATCTACTCTAATGAACTGCTAATGCATTTATTGTACTTTTTTCATTAGACATTTTAATACATACTTCTCCTTTCTATTGATCAGTGATTTCTCTTCCGGTGAAATAAGCAGTACTTTGAATAATTTTTTATGAATGTAAAACTGAATGAATTATATTAAGCCAAATGAATTATGGAAAAAATTTATGAACTTATACAAATCTGACAGGAATGAAATATTTTTATTTTATAAACTACTTATCACACCGAAATTTCTTAGAACTAGTCTTGTAACCATCAACAAAGTTAATCAAATATTATTATATCATTAATTTAAGATAAAGTATCTTGCAATTTAAGGGTGTTGACTTTTCATGCACATTATACTATTGTTAAATATCAGCTCAAATATTTCTAGTCATCAGTTAAAATAACTACCATTAAAAACATAAAAGTAATTTTTTATCTGCTAGAATATTTTTAAAATTTGATCATTTTTATTTTAAAATTTATTAGTATATGAATCTTGCAATATTTTTTAAACATCTATCATCTCAGATAAAAATCATTTTTGAGCAAAGGTTCATGTTAAAAAAATCTTACTTTAATTAAAATACTTGTAAAACTTTGATAATTCATTTTCAAAGTACTGTTAAATTACATTGAATTCAAAGAAATGTAATGACAGAATGATTACTTTTTATATAAACTCTTTGTGTGTGCAAAATATAGAACAATGCAAATTTTTCAATGCATGTTTTTTAAATATTTCTTTTATAATTATCTCTAACTGAAGTTTGATAATATAATATTTTGCAAGGCTTTCTGTGCTTTAAAGAGCAGCTATAAAATTTTATAATTAATAAGGACAATTTAAGAGCTTTCATTAAAGCATTATTTTTTATGTTTATTTTCTATATGCATAAAGACGTACAATTGTTGTTTAGTTTTGGTTACTTTTTTCTTCAAGTCTGAACTATATGGAATAGATTTATTGTAAATTTTAAGCATTTTCAGAATGCAGTTTTCATATATTTCCTGCATGCAATTTTCTGTTTTAAAATAAATTTTTTGTCTGATCTTTATTTGTGTGTTTGAAAATTAATGCATAAACATAGCTGATCAACTGCAGCACAATTAAAGCATCTGCCAGTTATGTCAGCTGTTTTCCATTAGAGCCATTCATCAGTTTTACAACAAAGAGGAAATTTTATGAATTTTCTTCAATTACTTTCCTGTTTAATTCTCAATCAGAAAATTTGGATTTTTTTTAATTACTTGTAAAGTTGATTATCAGTAGTTACCTTGATAGTATCTAAAACAAAAACCTGCCTTTAACTGAAAAATTAATTTTAGAAATTTATCAAAGCTTAACAATAAATAAATGAGATTTCCATAATGTGCTGTCATAAAAAACATATGTTGCTTCTTGCTTATTAACATTGTAAAAGTAAATAATTTGAATATATAATAAGCATGCGTGTATACATGCATATGTATTATATATCTCTCGTATTTAGCATCAGTTATCCAAGGTGCTGAAAAACGTGATCTCAAAATATATTTATGTAACCTAGATGTACATTTTTAAGTTTCTTAAAATAAAATGCAGAATTTTATAAAAACTATGTCAGCAGGCTGACTCCAGATTCCAGAGAGAAAAAGAATTCAACATGGAATAAAAATACTAGTGAATAAAAAAAACATTGCTTTAACTAGCTGAAGTTTGAAAATTGTTTGTAAAAATATTTAAGGAATTCAGTACATAAAACTTAAAATTTTTGATAATAAATTTAGGAAACACAAACACATATTGAAAACAATATCTGCTTGTTTTGGCAATTCATATTTTCACACTGGATGAAACAGTAATGCTGACTTTTTGACTGAAGCAGTTTTGGATGGAAAATTTTTATTGATTATATCTCCATGGACTTAAAGACTTTGAAATCTTTAGGTAATTAAATATAAAGAATTTTATATATTGGAATTTTTACTATACAGGAACCATATACAGTATTATGATAGCTGCCTCAGTTGTGTTAAGGAGGATATATTTCAGCAAATAGACACAAAAAGCTAAAATATTAGCAATTTGACACCAGATAGCCACAAAAAACAAGCATTTGAATTAAAACTCCTTCAGAACTTTAAATTCATGAAGTAATATATGTAATAATATATTTAAATACTAAATAGTACTTTTGAGAATATTTTTTCATATCTAAATTATCAAAAATAATTAATTAAGCTATTGTTCATGACTGATAAAACTTGCTTTTTAATTCAAATTTTCTGTCCATCTCTTCGTGGTAAAATTTATTTACTTTGATTATACAGTCCCCCTCCATCCTTTTTCTGACACATGAGAGACTTTTTTTTTTTTTTTTTTTCCATTCCTTTTATTGAGTGTATTCTCCCTAAAAAGCATAAGTTTACATTATGATATATTTTTTAGTATACTGAGTTATCTGGAAAGTTCTGTGTTTTTTTTAATGATAAATACAAATGAAGCAGAACAAATGAACATTTCATTGAATCACATAAGCATCATTTTGTTCTATGATTTTTTGCCATCTCTCCAGCAGCTGGAAAACACTTTTAAAAAAAAGTTCAGGCACTTGCCTGTTCAGCATTGGCCACTCCTATAGCAAAAGTGGTGGCCATTTTATTGTGGAGGCACCTAATAGGCAGCCACTGTTGCCTTCTATGGACAGTTACAACCATGCCTTCACCGGGATCTGAGCCCAGGCTCTTTGGTACCACAGTAGGCTCCCCTAACCATCTGGCAGCGTTTTAAAAAAAAAGTCATTTGGTTTTACTAGTGAAAAAGTTACGAAGGTGCTGCTTGACAGTGTTCCAGGAACTTGGTGAATTTTGATGTGGAGAGATGAAAATCCAAAGGAAAAGGTATGTTGAATATGGAAAGTGACATGAAGCATCACAGCCATACTCAATACAACTTTATCTGACACACATTGCAGTATGAAAAAGCTTGGCTGTGATAAAAGACAACACTTATGTCATGAATATTCTTTTGACATAAATGAGACAATTTAAGGGTATACATATCACTGTTTTGCAATAAAATCCTCCTCATAAAACTGATAGTCGTTTGCATATCTCAGAACTCCTTTATTTCAAAACTAACTTTAAAAATGCAGCATCATCACCCATGCTTAAAAATGAGTTTTCTTTTTCTTTCCCCCCCCATGGAAAAATTACCTTTTTAGATAGTACTACTGAAGTAAAAACTTTTATCATAGACCAACTGCAAATTTGTCCTTAGATAAATTATACAGGTATTATAAATACAAAACCTAAAATAAGTTAACAAAATTTCAGTAAGCCTGAGCAAATATTTTAATTTATTATGATAGATCATAAGATCATTGACTGAAGCTGGCATGTAAATTGGAAAAATGAAGATATTTCATGGATTCATCCAAAATAAAATTAGAGGTAGATTTACTTTCCTAATGTGAAAGAAAATTTGTTCTACCTTTGTTACTTGAGAACACAAAACAAACAAATGAGCATTATTTAAAACATACATTATGAAGATCATCAGAAGTACATACAAAGTGTGTAATCAGGACATCCATTATCCAGAATGATCTATAATACGGACCTCAAAGCCACAAACTTACGCATACACTTAAAGCCAGTAAAGCGTTTACACATGCGTGGCTTCCGATAGTGAAGAAAGTGACATTATTAAGAAGTTATTGAAAACGAAAAAATTTCGATTGACAATTTAGTCGGTATTCTCGACACAGCAATTAAAGGATTTGAACAGTGGAACTTTGTAACTGAACAAGAAATTATGTCTGTTTATAGAAGAGAGAATTAAAGAGAAAGTATCAGCACAAAATGAAGCAACTTAAACAACTTACATTGAAAGAAATGTTTAATAAAGTAAACAAATAAATATTAAGCCCTTTTTTTTTTGTAAATTTTGATAACCTTTAGATCATAATTGCTCTTTATTTCATAAATTATGGTTTTATATTTTTAATTGTATAATTTCTGCCTGCCATCTTACCAGATTTAAATTGATGATCTATAATCCGGAATTGCCAAAATCCCGAGTCCAGATTACAGACTTTGTACTGTATTTCTATGTTCTTTTAAAAGCTACGGCATTGCTAATATTTATAGCAAGTAAGTTTTGCCAAATGTTATTGTTTTTTTTTTTTTTTTTTTTTTTTTTTTTTTTTTTTTTTTTTTTATGCAGTTTGATTAGTTGATCAAATTCAATATTTTTGTTGACCAGTTTCTTTGTAATGTTAAAAACAACCTCTAACATTATAAAGAAAATTCCCTGTGATAATACTGTGGCTGGTGAGAAAAATAATGCACATGAAGCCTTCAATACAATATCCCAGCTTTATTTAACATTTATCTCAGCTTTATCTAAACTTTTATATCATTAAATTAGTTTTCAAAGTAAATGGATCAAACAGATGTGGAATTTAAGAGCACTGTTGTAGCAAAGTGAGTTTAAATACTTGATTTCTTTAAAATTCCTATGTAATAGTGAAAAATAATGTTTCAATTCTGTAATATGGATATCAGAATTACTATAGAAAGTTAAATAAAAATTTAAAAAAATGTTTTTGCATGCACATTAGTATAAACAGAATTTTAAAGTAAGCATTTGAACAAATATTACACCAGCAATGATTTCAACATAAAAAAAGAAAAACTTATTTTTTATTATCTGGTTCTCTTCCGCATATATATCTATCCTCTTGCAGAAATTTATGTGAAAACTGATGTTATATTCATCTGCTGAATATATTATTATTCAGTCTCCATACAATCAAATAATTACAAATGCATCCCCAGGTTATTAGAACTTAATTTCCATTCTTTTCTTTTAATCTCTTTTATATAGAAGTATTAGCATATACCCAAATATCTAAATATGTAGTTTCAAATACCTTAATATATGGATATTATTCATAAATTCAATGCTTGTATAGTTATTATAAAATATTAAAAATACCAGTATATAATACTACAGTATTTTTTTTTCTGCATAATCTTCTGTCATAATGCATTAATTTTCCTGTAATAGATATTTTTTTTTTTCAAATTTCATATTTCATTTCAATCTCTGAACCCTTTGTGGTTCACTAAACTTTAAAGTCGGTATTTCAACAAGAAAAGTTGTATGCAGTCTATCTAGGCCTAAAGGAGTATACAGATAAAAGTTTGTAAAAGTTGCACTTACTGTTTCAATTCTGTGGGTGTTCCATGAGGTGGAACAGTGTGCCACCAGAGCTCTTAAAAATGCGACTAAGCACTTTCCATATCAAACATATCTTGTTCCTTTGGATTTTCATCTCTCCACATCAAAATTCACCAAGTTCCTGGAAGACTGTCAAGCAGCACCTTCATAACTTTTTCACTAGTAAAACCAAATGACTTTTTTTAAAACGCTGCCCTGATGGTTAGGGGAGCCTACTGTGGTACCAGAGAGCTCAGATGGGCTCAGATCCCGGTGAAGGCATGGTTGTAACCGTCCATAGAAGGCAACAATGGCTGCTTATTAGGTGCCTCCACAATAAAATGGCCACCACTTTTGCTTTAGGAGTGGCCAATGCTGAATAGGCAAGTGCCTGAACTTTTTTTTAAAAAAGAGTTTTCCAGCTGCTGGAGAGATTTCAAAAAATCATAGAACGAAATGATGCTTATGTGATTCAATGAAATGTTCATTTGTTCTGCTTCATTTGTATTTATCATTAAAAAAAAACACAGAACTTTCCAGATAACTCAGTATATTAAAAAATATATCATAATGTAGACTGATGCCTTTTAGGAAGAATACACTCAATAAAAGGAACTGCAGTGAAGCACGGAAATAAGTATAAGCTTTTGTATAGTAATGAAAAACACTGTATTATAGCTGTATACATGTTTTTCTGGATATACACAACTTTCTTGAATATATATGGATAAATGAGATAAATATATGTATATACACAAGTCCTATATACAAAAATATTTACAAATTTTTCGGTTTCATAGCTTCGTGAAATTTTCAAAGCATGTGACATCTTTTTGATAGAAACATAAACCAACTTTGCAGGTTTTGAACAAAAAACTTGTTTTGTGCGGCTTCTGTTCGTGCAACAATATGTTTAGAAT